CAATCCACGCGATGTTGCGGGAAGGGTTGTACCCGAATGCATTGCGGTCACACAGAGATTTTTTACGGGTAGTGTTCGACATAGCCAACATACTATCCCGATCATTAAATTTCGACCCCCCCCTCTTTTTTTCACTTTTTCGCCCTCCCTGGGACCTGTGTTGCTTTCCGTCTCGCCCCGCGGAATGTTCATTCATGGTACGGTGTACCGAACGTCTGATGAACACCGGGAGCGGGGGTTGTGAGTCATATCAGAGCAGCAGCGAGCAAAATAAAAAATATAAGGAAACTCAAAAAATTCACTTTTCCCGCCCAAATTTTGGTTTGGGTTCAGTCTTTTTGTGCGCATGACTCGCACACGCAGTCAGTCCACGTCCCGCGTGGCTCCCAGACAGCCCCCGGTATGGCTGCGTCCAACTTCACCAAAAAGACCGCTGCCCGTGCTGGACAAGATGCCCAGGGAGGTCGTCCGCGGTCAAGTGCTCGCGTTGCGAAATGCTGGCCTCTCCTACAACAAGATCGCCACCCAGCTTCACCTCCCACGTTCTACAGTGATCAGCATCACCCAACGTTTCTCGGGAAGGGCGACGACGAGCGACAGCCCCCGCCCCGGTCGCCCCAGCAAGCTCAAGTCATTTCACCGCAACAACATTGTAGCACAGATCCTCCTCGATGAGTCCGACACCGCACCCGAAGTGGCCGCCACTATGCGCACATTGTCCAAAGTTCGTGTCTCTCCATGCACGATAAGAAGGGTGCTGCATGGTGCAGGACTTGTCAACGGAGCGAAGGTCAAAAAAGCCCTCTTGAAAGAGACACACAAAGAGCGACGCTTGGCCTTTGCACTCGCTCATCAGCATTGGACCGTCGATGACTGGCTGAGGGTCGTCTTCTCTGACGAGACTGCTCTCTATCTCTGCAAGAACAACAACTGTGGACCGGTTGGCGAAACGTTGACCGATCGATGCGTGCAGGGCACGGTCAAGTTCGGCGGTGGCCATATCAATGTTTGGGGCGCCATCTCTCGTTTCGGAATTTCGCTTTTCTGCGAGGTCGGCGACGTCATGAACGGCGACACCTACCTCTCAGTTTTGGAGAGCGAGTTGCTAGCAAGCATTCGCGTGTGGAACAACAAAAACGAGATGATTTTCATGCATGACAATGCCCCTTGTCACAAAAGAAAAGATGTGGCGAAGTGGTTCGAAACCAATCAGATCACCGTCCTGGACTGGCCTGCGAACTCTCCCGACCTCAACCCCATCGAAAATGCGTGGAACATGGTCAAGAACAAGATCTACCAGGAGAGGGAGATCAAGAGCAAGGCCGCGTTGTGGGAACGCTTCCAAGCGGTCTACGAAGAAGTGCTCACGCCAGAGGTCTGCCGCGATCTCATTTCATCGATGCCGCGCCGCATTCAAGCTGTGATAGATGCCAATGGTGGTTATACCAAGTACTGAAGTGGAGCGAAGGCGCTGCGACACGTTGTTTGTGTGCCATGTAATGCTTTGTGAAAATTGGGCAAAAAAGCCGCTCTTTTTCTGTTTTTTTGAGTTTTCATTTTTGTCTGTTCTCGCTTCGAATCTTAACTCCCAGCCCGCTGCTTCACTTCTAAAATGTGTCTGGTACACTGTACCATGAATGAACATTCCGCGGGCGAGACGGAAAGCAACACAGGTCCCAGGGAGGGCGAAAAAGTGAAAAAAAGAGGGGGGGTCGAAATTTAATGATCGGGATAGTAGAGCGATTCCAGCACCACCTCGGCTTGAGATATGGAGGGTTGAACTTGAACTCCCCACCCCTCGCGCATTTGTCGAAGGATGGTCGCTGGCAGGACCATCACAACCTGAATGTCGTAACCGATGACAGCTGGTTTCACAGTACGCTTGTACCGAACAGCACCTTGCTCATCTCGGACAATCAAATCGACAACGGGATTAGTTGTGGCATCGAAACAGCCCGGCCAGTTACGAACCACTTGAATTGCTTTCACGCGGATCGAACTTCCGTTGCTGCCCCGAGGCACTGTAACATGCAGATCCTGCAAATGCGGCAACACCTGTTCTCGTTTGATGCCCTGCACGCCTTGCCAGTACTGCGCCTCGTTCATAATGAGTTCAGCAATCTCGGCTGGTAGTGCTGGTAGCGCTGCTGATTGATCCTCCAGCTCTTGTCTGCTGGTCAGCAAGCAAAGTACTGTCTGAACATCGTCGGCGGTTGCTAATCGTGGATGTATGGAGAATGCAAGAGGGTGAAACTGGTTGCTGAGGCTGTGCAACGAACAATTACAGTAAGTGGGCAGTCAGCACTACCATTCATGGTTCGAGGAACATTGGCAGAGGGGGGGGGAGATGGCGCTCTCATGTTCAAGTTCCAAAATGGACACCTACGTAGGATATGCCGACCCGGTGACTGAAAGAAATGCCCTGTCGATCATTTGAATACCAGCAATGCCCATGCAATTAAAAAGTAGGCTGTTGTCCCAATGGGGTGAGCAGGATGCACAAGCTAGCAAGATCTGGACCCGAAGTTCTGGACCCGAAGTTCTGGACCCTGGCTCAATGTCCGAGACGAGCAAAACGCACAGCAACTTACTCGAGGTGTCTCAATGTGATATTTTGGGTGATCGCTCGAGCAAACGCAATTGCTCCAGCATCGCCAATCCGATTCATGTCCAAACTGTTAACGCCCTAGCTCAGTGAATACTCTGAATGCTCCTCTGCTGGATGACCCACTCGTGGATGCTTCAGCAACAGTGGGATGCCTTACACGAGCGTAATCACATTTGTGTTCACTTCGAGCGCCCGAGCCAACGCCTTCGCTCCAGCATTGCCAATCCAGTTCCGCTCAAAACTGCCCGTCTCATCCGTCAGTGAGCGCTCTGAACGCCCTCTGCTGCAACCACCCACATCACATGCATCCGTCCAAGCGAGCTGCTTTACTTGAGCTCGGTCAGCGTCTTGTTCCCCTTGAGTGGCTCAGCAATTGCCTTCGCTCCGGCATCGCCTATCTGATTGTTGTGCAGACTGTTCATCCCCTCCATCGGTGAGTACTGAATGCTATCTGGCTGAGTCACCCACTCACAAGCATCAGTCAAAGTGAGATGCTTTACTCAAGATAAGTCACCGTCGTGTTCACTTTGAGTGCTTCGGCGATCGCCTGCGCTCCAGCATCGCCAATCTGATTGCTACTCAGACTGTCCCCCCCCCCAGTGAGCTTGCGATGCTCTCTACTAGATCACGCACTCCAATGCATCATTCAAAGTGAGATGCCTTACTCGAGATATTCCAGCGTCTTGTTCACCTTGAGTGCCTCGGCAATTGCCTTCGCACCCACTTCGCCAATCAGATTCCGGTGCAGACTGTCATTCCCCTCCATCGGTGAGTTGAAACCGTCAACTCACATGCATCAGTCAAAGTGAGATCTCTCACCTGAGCCGGATCAGCGTCGTGCCCACTTTGAGTGCCTCAGCAATCGCCTGCGCTCCAGCATCGCCAACCCTACAACCAGCCAGGCTGTCCACGTCCCAATCTCTCAATGAGCACTCCAAGCAGCCCACTGCTAAAGTCGCCCACTCACATGCATCTGCTCAAAGTGAGATGCCTTACGCGAGATCAGCCATCGTCTTGCTCACCTTGAGCGCTTCAGCAATCACTTGCGCTTCAGCAGCGCCAATCTGATCGTCCATCGCACTGTCCCACATCCCCCCTCCCATTTTCGTCAACACATGCAGTCCGACTCGAACTGTCATCACACAGTTCCAGTACACACACGGCTTGGTTCTTCACCTGCAGAAGCGACCCTGGTCCCTGACTTTGAGATACAACTGGCGCTGTTGTGCAGTCATCACAAACGACAGCATTGCAGCTGGAAAAGGCTCCCCTTTGAAAAATGGACTGCCTTTTCACCATCATCGTTCATAGTCAAGTTCATAGTTCATGATGATGATGATGATGATGATGAGACCTGAACATCATTCAAATCCTTGTTTGACGAAAGGGATAGTGAATAAGATACAGGAAAGAACCAAAAACAAAAAAAGCTCAGTCTCCCTCCCTTTCAAGTTTGGTTTCGTTTTTCTCAGTTTTCTTCTCAGTTCTCAGACAGTCCCGTTCTCAGCAAATTCATTCCAAACAAATGGCAAGCAGCCTGGTCAAGGACGCGAGTCTGATCGACCGCGTCTTCCGCACCTTCATCATGCGCACAACCTTCTTCAAGGAGGGCTGGGGCAGCAAGGAGGACATGCACCGCATCATCAACCTCCGGCGCTTTGCCTTCTCCAGCCGCGAGAACTTTGCCTCGCTGCTGCCCGACGCGCTCCACCCGACCGTCCACATTGACAAGGTTTGAGCAATCGCTTTGATGTTGGGGGTTGGATGGTTGTTGTTTCGGAGTCCTTTGCGGATGACTGCGAGGTCGAAGGGTTGACTGCGGCCACATTGGTTCCTGTGTGTGCTCTTCCATCCACTTCCACTTCTCTGTCGACTTTGCGATGACTGACACACACACACACACACACACTCTCTCTCTCTCGTTCGTTGGTCTTCATTCATAGGAGGAGCAGGTCGACAGCCGCACGCGCATCCTCAAAGGCCACTTCCAGTCGCCGCTGGTCGGCCTCCTGCCCGGCCTGCTGCCAAAGGAGTCCGAGACGGCCCACTTTGAGCTCGTGCTGCCAGTTCGCAGAAGCGCAGTCCCGCCAGCGCCGTACAAAAAGTCGCTCGAGCGCGTCGTGCGCGGCCTCGCGACGCCAGACGAGACGGTCGGCTCGGTCGGAGGGGCGCCAGGCACCGCGGCCAGATTCACGGACGGGTCCTTGCTCAATCGATGGGTGCACTCCATGCTCAACATGGCCATCCAGGTCAACTCGGAGGCCGGCTCGGGCGGCCCGTTCTCGTCCAGCGCCCGTGCTTCTGCTGGCTCTTCTTCCGCTGCTGGCCCTTCTGCGCCGTTCTCATCGGCCATGCTCAACGATTGGCTGGCGAACGTACCTGCAGCGCGTGCCGCTATGGCGACCGCCTTGTCGCAGATGGCGGCAGCAGGATCAAAGCCGGATAGCGCCGTGGACGACATGGTGCAGCAGCTCTATGCCGCAGGACCGCAGCCCATACTCATCCAACTTGCTGGGACTGGAGATCACTACTTTTGGCGGCGACGCCACCTCCTGGCAAAGCCGTTGCTGCACGACAGCGGCATTGGCTCAATCATTCTCGAGAATCCCTTCTATGGCCTGCGAAAGCCCGCGTACCAATGGCGATCGTCGCTGCTGCATGTGACAGACCTGTTTCTCATGGGAGTGGCTTTGATCCTCGAAACAACGGTGCTCTTGCGCTGGTGCGAAGAATCTGGCTATGGGCAGTTGGGCATGCAGGGGTTTTCCATGGGCGGCCACATGACGTCTCTCGCCGCGTCGGCCTATCCCAAGCCGCTTGCCATCATCCCCTGTCTTTCTGCGAGCACTGCCTCCGCTGTCTTTGCCGATGGTGTCATGAGCAGCGCCTGTGCATGGCCAGCGCTGACTGAGCAGCTCAATCAACTTGAAGCCGAGTCTTTGTCCTTGCCTTCCATGGTACGTCTCTTGCGTGTTTGTTTTTCGTGCATAGCTGTTCTTGAAGCACTGTGCAGCTCATCTTTTTGAGCTGTGTCGTTGGTCTGTTCCTGTTTCTTGTTTTCTTACTTTTGCTGTTTTTTCCTCTTCTTGGTTATTTTTTTTTTCGCTCTTCACTTGCAGCCGCCATCTTGCAAAGTCAAAGGAGTCCTTCGCCCAGATCTTAGTCAAACCGCTGCTCAACGTGACGTGACGCAGATGATGCGCTACTTTATGGACGAAGCGACGCACTTGTGCAACTTTTTCACGCCCGTTTCGACTGCCGCCACCGTCATCGTCGTGGCGCGCAACGATGCTTACATTCCGCTACCATATGCTGAAGAGCTGTCTCACCTGTGGCCGGGCAGCGAGGTTCGCTACGTCGGTGGTGGTCACGTTTCGTCCTTCTTGTTGCGGCAGGGTGTGTTCAAGCAAGCCACAATGGACGCGTTTGCTCGATTGGCCAAGCTACAGCTCGAAGAAACGCAAGGACAAAAGACCAGCGCAAAATCCAACTCGGTCTGAACCAAAAAAAAAAGAAAAAAACGTTTAAAGTCAGATTTTGTTTCTCTTCTCTGTTGTCCTTCCTTTGTAAATTATTGAATAGATTGTTGTGAATCGACCTGACTTTGCTCCTTTTGCTTGAAACGTTACTTTACTACACAACGCAAGTCCTGAAGCCTCAGTAACCCGAGTAACCTGCTGAGAACACGTACTAGACACAAAACTAACTCCAGAGATAACTTTAACGACTCAGGGCGCGCAGTTCGTTGAGAATGAGCGGCCCAATCACGTGGCATGCGGCCCGCAGTGCCATCATTGATCGATACATGCCTTGGTAAGGCTTGTAAATTGGAGTGGTGCGTCCAATGTTGTACATGGCGTACACGGCAACGGCGAAAAAATGGTAGACCAGCAGCGTTGGCCGTGGGTTGGTGCTGCTCATATGATGATGATCAGCCAAGATGAGACGTCCAAAACCAACTCTCAACCAAAGCAAAGAGATGAGAGAACGCCCCACACTTACACGGATAACAAGGAAACCGGGCCAGCTGCGCATTCGCCGCCCAACATGAAATATTGGAAGCAGGCCTCACGAAGACTCTCCAGGTGCTCGTCAGCAGCCGAGAACAGAGCGTAGAGCGCCTGGGCAAGCACATTCACTACAAAGGAGTGGGATTGCTTGCGATGCCAGTGGAATCGTGTCAACTGTTTCAGAACGGTGCTGTGATCGCCCAGATCGGGGACTGCGCGAAGAAGCTCGCGCCAGAGGCAGACGTCCGAGAAAGCAACAGTCATGCCGCCTGTCGAACAACAACAACAACAACAAAAAAAATAACGAAAGAAAGAAATGGTTGAGTGCATGGCATGGCGATTGCGGAGTTGAATGACTGAGAAAAATGATCAATGCTCTGATGAGTGTGACACCGACCTCCAGTCAACGGATGACGCATGTTCAGAGCATCGCCAAGCAAAAGGACGCCCTTTCGCTTCAACGGAGCTGCCGGCAAGTAACTGTTTGGCATTGTTCGAATTCGATCCTTTTCGCAGGCTTCAAGGAAAGCGGCCTGAAAAACAGAATCCCAAGTAACCGCAAACACAGGTGAGCTTTCTCAGCAAAAGGGCATCAGTGGTAAATACAAAACGCTCGAAAACATACACGGAAATGCGTTGGCAATTGAGGGGCAACATGGTTGATGAGGTGGTTCTGAAGCAGGAAAAAAAATACAGCAACAATGGTTGAGTGTGACCAAAAGCCAAAGGTAGATTCTGACGAACAAGGTCGAGATCATACCTTCAAATCACCGTTTCCATTGCTGGGCACGGGTGGCCGAACGTCAACAAGGACGCGAGTTTCGTTCGATCCAATCTAAGCCAGAAAACAAGCAGAAGATCAGAATGAGCAAGAACGGAACATTTTTGCGCTTCGATCAGCACTCCAATCCATACCTGATAGAAGAGAATAGGAGACGGGCGAGCCAGGACAACCTCCGCAAAGTTGTATTGGAGCATAGGGCAGTTTTTGAGGACAAGACTGGAGTGACACCAACACAGCAAGTCAGAAAATCGTTGGAGGCGAACAAAAGTTTAAACTTGCGACCAACGACTCAGCTTACCCGACAAAGTGCGAGCGGACTTCCACCTCGTTGGCAACAAGGTCTTTGCGAAACTTGGAGAAGCACCCGTCGGCCACGATGGTCAGAGGTGCGCGAACAGTCTGCTTGTGCAAGCAAGAGCGAGTGAGAAGCGATTCGAATGAGAATGCTCTCGCTCTCTCACTCTCAACTGTTGTTCGTACCAGCGTCTCGGAAGTCTTTTTAGACTGGTACTCGACGCCAATAACGGTGGAATCGGCGTCTTGGGCGCGCAGCAGGGTGCCCACGGTGCCTTCGATGATGGTAACACTAAAAGAATCAGCCGTAGTCAGCGAACAGTGCAACAACAAGCTTTGATTTCCGCATTGTAGTAGTCGTACTTTGATTCTCGACGAGCAGCTTCGCGCAACTTCATAATGAAGCGTCCGTGGTGGAACGACCGACCAGCCCGCGTCTTGCCGGATTCGTCCAACGGGTAGGTGAGCTGCACGGCTTGCCCATGATAGTGGACAAAGTAGCCGTTCTCGACAACGGAATCAATCCCTTCCAAACAATCTGTGAAAGCATTGACGCAGAAAACGGCAGAAATTGGGTGAGTGAACGGTGCAACTCCTCTCCCTTTTCCCCAATGACGCCAGTATGATCGTTCTCACTTTCAAGGCCCAGTTGCCGCAGGGCAGCTACGCCACCTGGCTGTAGAAGCTCGCCGACAATGCGATCGGGCTCGGACAGGTCGCGTTCAATCAGCGTGACCTTGCGACCATCCTTTGCCAAGGTGGCAGCCATGGCGCAACCAAGAATACCAGCACCGACAATAATCACGTCAGCCACAGTGGCGTCTGACGCAGGAATGGCATCCGGTGTGCTGTTAGCGGCGATCGGAACGTGCTTGGCAGCCCATTTTGACCTCATTGCTGGAACAACCGGCGTGAGAGGTGCCTGCCAAACAAAGCAACATGTGAGCCATTTGATTTGTCGAACAAAGACCTCCCAAACTAGTTTGTTGCGCTCACCGGCTGAACAGTAATCCTGGCCTTGGCCAGCTTGTACACTACGAACGAAATCACAGCAACAGCCGCGAACGCCGGCGAGACGGCAAATCCGAGTAAACCCATCTCGTTTGGTTGTTTTGTTGTCTGTTTGAAATCTTGTCTTTGAACTAGGTTTGTGTTGGTTTTCTATTGGATTGCAAGTGATTCCCGAGCGAGGTAAGTCAAAAGCACTCGTTCGCTCCGTTTTCCATCAGATCGGATTGGGATGAGCGTTTCCCCCCCCCCCAAAAAAAAAACAAAGCCAATGTGCCTCGATAGTGCATGCTCGGCTTGTATTTTACCAGCAGCAGGTTGCTTCTCTTTGTGCTGCTTGATCTCGTGTTCCATTGGCAGCTCGGCTCATGTTTTTCGGCCAATCAAAACAGCAGTCGCTTTACTATCACATCTCGCTCTTGTCCGTCTCTGAATTGAGCACGCTTTGAGGTTCGCATTGCCAACGATGCGTTCCAAGAAACATGACTGTCGACTTGTTGAGACGGGGCGACAGACGGTGAAATCCAACGACCGAGACTCGCCGGCGGTCTCGCATCAGCCCACCTTTTTGATTGTTGCCGCTCTTCTTCTTCTTCTGATCTCCTGATCTCCCTCTCTCCCTCTCCCTCTGTCGATGCCTTCTCTTCATCCTGAATGAGAATTAAGCTCGATGTTTGATTGCATGGTTTGTGATTTTGAGTGATCAACCATTGAAACCATTGAACAAAAAAAAAAAAAAAAAAAAAAAACATGAGGAGATGTTCATCTGTGGCGTGATGTTGAAAAAAAAAAAGAGGTTATTGTTCGCGTCACACGTTTTTGATGGAATCGGAACAGCTGAGGTCGAGAGAAACAGTCATCACAAAAGGAAGAGAGCAACGAGATGAGACGAGGAACGGAGCGACGAACGACGGCAGAGTAAGCGACCCCAAAAACAAACAAAAAAGAGCGCCAAAAAAATCTCAAACGGAAATGAACGCCGAAAATCCGACTTGTCACTCGTTCAAGCACTCAGCATCAGCTGTTGTGCTTTTGCTGCCTCGCACTTCCACAGCACACGAGCACCAAGAAAAACAAAAGGCGATGGTGTTAAAAAAGTGCGAGAATATACAAACCAGAGTGAATGGAAACAAAAACAAGCCAGAAAAGCGAGAACAAAAGAGAGACTGAACATTGAAAGTCGAATGTCATATCAAAGGCCTTGGAATGATTCTGTGTGATTCTGACAAGGGCCGATTGAAACACGAGCAGTTATCGCGGTGGCAAGCTGACTATGAATGGAATGAAAGCAACGAGATTGAATATCAATGCAAACGATTCACGGGTTTTCGCGAGGGCAGACAGACAGACAGAGCTTGGAAAAGAGGCTCTTGTGCCTTTCAAGTGCAGCATCTATCGATCCATGTTGCTCTTCTGCAAGTGGAATACTCATCTCATTCGATACATCAGAACCTCACTCCATTTTTTTGACTGACTGCAAAGTCCCAACAACCATCTTCAATCTCAAACAATGACGACCGACACTCCCGCGTGGAAGGCGCTCCAGGAGCACTACGACACCAAGGTACAAAGTGGAATCGTTGGATGAATCACTTTGCTTTGCTGAACGCTCATCAGTGTTGAGCGGGTGGAAGGGGAGAGTGCGTGGAATGGATGATCACGACTCGCCCCAAAAAATCACTCACCGTCTCACCCTCTCATGAAACTGATGAAACTGTGACGTGGCACTCGACCATCTCGACCATCTCGACACATTGACACACACAGGCGTCCAAGTGGCAGATGCGCGATCTGTTCCAGGCCGACCCTGCGCGCTTTGAGACGTTCTCGCGCGTGCTGAAGCAGGGCGGCAACAACGAGAACGGCGATTTCCTGCTCGACTTTTCAAAGAACGTTATCACGGACGAGACCTTCAAGCTGCTGCTTGCACTGGCTCGCGAGCGCGGCGTTGAGCAGATGCGGTAAGCGCCACGACGCAAGCGAGGGTGGGGGGGGGACGCGGGAGAGTGAGTGAGAGAGCGAAGCGCAATCGTTGGATCGTTTTTGATGACCTTTCGACCCGGCTTCGACCTTTTCCCACTCCATCCTGTTCTCCCCCCCCCCCGCCTCGGTTTATGACGCCGGAGAGCGAGTCGTTGTGAAAAATGCGTCAAAACGCTGCCCGACTTGACCGGTCGTGGGTCGCAGAGACACACGCTGGGACTTACTTTCACTCACACTGTGAATGCGCAATCTGGACAGCGACAAGATGTTCAAGGGCGACAAGATCAACATCACCGAAGATCGCGCTGTGCTGCACATTGCACTGCGCAACCGCTCCAACAAGCCCATTCTGGTCGACGGCGTGGACGTCATGCCAGAGGTCAACGACGTCCTCAAGCGCATGCGCGTCTTTGTCGACAAGGTCCGCTCGGGCGAGTGGAAGGGCTTCACTGGCAAGGTAACGTTTTTTACTTTTCTTTTTCTTTTTTTTTTTTCTCTCCGTGTTCGCATCATGTCCGAGTTGTACAAGTCTCACTTTTTTGTTGTTTTCACGTGTGCAGGCGATTACTGATGTTGTCAACATCGGCATCGGCGGTTCTGATCTGGTACGAATGTTCGGCCGAACGAATCTTGCTGTTTAGCCTGTGTCCCGTTCCCCTTAACCCTAATCCTTTTTCCCGGCTGTTTTGCTTCTGCTATACGCTAGGGCCCCGTGATGGCCACCGAGGCACTCAAGTCGTACTCGTCGCATTTGAACGTGCATTTCGTCTCCAACATTGACGGCACCCACCTTGCCGAAGCCACCAAGCGCCTCAACCCCGAGACCACGATCTTTGTGATTGCATCCAAGACGTTCACTACGCTTGAGACCATCACGAACGCCAACTCGGCGAAGGAGTGGATTCTCGCCGCCGCCAAAGATGTGAGTCGTCGGGTTTCCGCGTTTTTTGTTTTTTTGTTTCGTCTCCCTGCTTCATAAGCGCATTTTGGCTGACTTGTTTTGTTCCTAATCCCTCCCCCACTTCCCAGGTGTCGGCTGTCGCCAAGCACTTTGTTGCCCTGTCCACTGCTCGCCCGCTGGTCGAGAAGTTTGGCATTGACGCAAACAACATGTTCCCGTTCTGGGACTGGGTTGGCGGTCGCTACTCGCTGTGGTCGGCCATTGGCATTACCATTGCTCTCTACATTGGCATGGATGGCTTTGAAGAGCTGCTCGCTGGTGCGCACGAGATGGACAACCACTTTGCCACTGCCCCGCTGGAGCAGAACCTGCCCGTCATTCTTGGTCTGCTGGGCGTCTGGTACAACAACTTTTTCGGTGCCCAAACACACGCTATTCTGCCCTACGACCAGTACATGCACCGCTTTGCGGCGTACTTCCAACAGGTAACGGTTGTCAGACATTTGCACTGTGGCGAAAAGTGTGAATGGGCTTCTCCTTTGTTGCCACCCGATGTGCAGTAGGCTTGCAAACTTACGCTCCTTTTCTTTTCTTTTTTTCTCTACCTCCCTCTTTGATTCGTTGGCAAATGCTTGGATAGGGAGACATGGAGTCGAACGGCAAGTCAGTCACGCGCGACGGCAAGGCAGTCAAGACCTCCACCGGCCCGATCGTCTGGGGTGAGCCAGGCACGAATGGTCAGCATGCCTTCTACCAGCTGATCCACCAAGGCACCAAGGTCATCCCGGCCGACTTTATTGCCCCCGTCGAGTCGCAAAACCCGATTGCCAACAACCTTCACCATGTCATTCTGCTGGCCAACTTTTTCGCCCAGACTGAGGCCTTGATGAAGGGCAAGACCTCGGACGAAGCTCGCAAGGAGCTGGTGGCCGAAAAGCTCAGCGGCGACAAGCTCGAAGCGCTGCTGCCGCACAAGGTGTTTGCCGGCAATCGCCCCACCAACTCGATCATGTTCCAAAAGCTCACCCCGCACACGCTCGGTCTGCTGCTGGCGCTGTACGAGCACAAGATCTTCACCCAGGGCATCATCTGGAACATTAACTCGTTCGATCAGTGGGGTGTCGAGCTCGGCAAGCAGCTCGCCAAGGTCATCCAGCCCGAGCTCACTGCCGCCGGTGCCGTTTCCTCGCACGATGCCTCTACCAACGGTCTGATCAACTTTTTCAAGACGCATGCTCGCAAGTAAAATGTGCTCCTGTTTTTGTTTTCGGAAGTGTTTTCAATCCCAGATTTGCTGTCAGCCCGCTTTTGTTGATGTTGGGGGATTTTTGGTGGGTTGGAATACATGTATTCTCTGCCGCCTTTGAGCTCTTGTATCCCATAGTACAGAACAAGGTGAGCCATCGTGACGACCAAGCAAATTTCCACACCAAATTCGTTTTGCTGCCAATGACGTTGAGCACTATCGTCGTCATCCACATTCGCGCAAAGTGGTTTGGATTTGTTACACGTCGATTTTTATTTTTATTTGAGCTCAGTCACACTTTATCGCCGCACCAACAACAGCGAGATGGGTGGAGGAGGCTCGAAACCGAAAAACGAAGGTAAAAACCAAAAAAAAAAAAAAAAATCAAACAAATAAGAAGCAAAAGGAAAATAAGCAACTGTAGCAAACAAAGGCAGGCCGGACCCGAGTCGCCTCCAACTCTGGCCTCTGACTCGCCATGGAAGCGCCTGCTCACTCCCACGGACGGGTGTGGCGTGTCCCTGGTCAGACCTCCATTTCCGCCGTCCGCCACAACAAACGGGCTGCGGTTCCATTGTGATTTTATTGATTTTTATTGATTTTTATTGATTTTTTTCTTTAATGCTGCCGCTCGTGTTTCGCTTTTCGTTTGCTTTTTGTGCGTTTTCTCGTGTCCGCAGCGGCGCAACTCTTCTTCGACCGCATCAAGGCGCAGTACGATGTCGGCAAGGACACCAAGGGACTGCCCAAGCCAGACGCCTCGTTCAAGGTAAACAACCAGCGGACTTGCAAAAAACAAACCCCAATTCTTTTTTTTTTTTTTTTTTTTTTTTGGTTGTTGTTGGTTGTTTGTGGATGCTCTGCCAGTGAAGCAGCAGCCGTGACAACTCTCCCCCCAGCACGAAGGATGCCATGTCGTGTGTTTTGTTTGCTTGTCGGTGGTGGTGGTGGTTTAGTTTTTTCAGCATCACTTTGCTGAATCGGACGGAGAACGGCTGCTTTTGGTTGTGTTGTGACTCCTCTGCCTGTCGGTGCATTGCGCATCCCACCCAGCCACCCACAAACACACTCACACATACACGCAGGATGCGATGGATCGGTGTTCCATCCAACGGCGATTTGATCGAACTTGTCAAGAAGACATCATCCGTCTGCTTGACTCACACTCTCGGGGGTTTTTACGTCTCCTGCTTACTTGCTCAACCTCTCAAATGCTCTCATGCTTGGGGGGGGGGGGAGAGACTCAAAAAGATTCCAAAAACAAAACGGATGGTGCTTGAGGGCAAAAGGAGCTCACTGCGAGAATTCTCTCGCTCTCTCTGTCTCTCTTGCTCGGATTCAGGCATTGGCTTCAGCGCTCTGCGCCATTCCTCGCGACGACGAACACGCCGTCATCAGCATTTGCAAGAAGCCCGTCAACGAAACCATCGTGGCTGCACTCACCAAGGCATTCGTGCGAAACCGAGCCATCGAAGGACTGCTCTTCTCCAAGTGTGAAGTGAGTCGTACATCTCCGTTGCATGTGCGACCAACCAAAAAAAAAAAAAAAAAAAACAGGCGGTTGCTCACTCGTGCGCGTCTGGTCTGTCATTGCAATGGTGATGGCTGCATCGGATGCCTCTACAGATGAAGGACAACGCACTGGCTGCACTGTTCCAACTCATCTTTTCAAACATTCGGATTGCCTTCTTTGACCTGTCACAAACGAGCTTATCGAGCGAGCAGCTCACTTCCCTCTGCGAGAGCCTGCTCGCGAACGAGTTTCTCCAGAGTGTCGGCATGGTTGGCCTTGGTATCACGGACGCAGAGGTGGAGCCCGTTCTCAACCTGCTGCGCAAAACACGCACCCTGCGTGCAATCGATCTCTCCGACAACTTGTTCACCGCAAAGACACTGGAAACGCTCGTTGATATTGTAGCAGCGAACGCGACCATATGTCGCCTCACGCTTCGTGGATACATCATTCCAGCACCGCTGCAGCGACGGCTGTCCGATCTTCTTGACCGCAACACGGCCGTCACCCAAGTGCTCGATGAAATTCTCGATAATTCCTGCAAACGCAACTTTAGCACCCGTCTTTCTGCCTTCCGCCGATCTGTCTTCCTCCGGCGAGGAGAAGAGGAACCGCAAGAGGGCGGAGTTGAAGACGCCGCTGCACCAACGTATAAGGTGGGTATTGTGTGGGGATTGCTGGAGCTGCTGTTTTGCGTTTTGAGGGGGTGGGGTGGGTGGCAATGTTGTTGTATGGACGTTCCTCTTATGTGTCCTCTCATCCCAACAAACAACAGCTCTACCGTTCATCAACTGTGCTGAATGACAAGTTTGTGCACATTGTATCCGAGCGGTTTGCCGTGTCTTTTGGCGAATCGAAAGGCCGAAGAAGCGAAATGCAAGATGTGCTCTTTGTTCAAGGCCGATATCGTGGCGAGGTCGATCAAGATTTTTTTGCAGTGTATGACGGGCACGGCGGACGGTATGGAAAAGCTCGCACTGATGTATCAACTGAACAGGAATGGCGTGCATACTCACGTCTGTTTTTTTTTGTTTGTTTGTTGTTTGTTTCATTGATTCCTTCCCCGGACTCGTGCCTTGCAAATTTTTAGAGAGCCGGCTGCGTATTGCGCCAAGCATTTGCATTTACTAATTGCCACAGAAATGGAAAAGATCCCTGCTGGGGGCATTCCTGCCGCTTTCAAGGCTGCTTTTGCAGAATGCAATCGACGGTTATCTGCATTCTGCAGCATTCAAGGCACCACCGCGACCTGTCTGTACATTTCGCCAGAGAAAACCTTTTATTTGGGCCACGTCGGTGACTCGCGCGCCGTCTTTGCCACGCGCAGTGCGTCCGCGCCAAGCCATGCCGTCAAGCTGTCGGAAGACGACACCAAAGCCTTCCAAGATGCAGGTGTTGTGCAACTGACGCGAGACCACAATCTCAAGGACGAGGACGAGCGGGCAGCTGTTGCAGCGCGCGGCTGCACCAACTTTGCCAACAACCGCGTGAACGGGCAGCTCACGCTTACGCGTGCCTTGGGTGATTCCAACTTGTCTTCGTACTTGTCCTGTGAACCCGACGTGTACGAGCATGCCCTCATTCAAGAGGACGAGTTTGTCATTCTCGCCTCTGACGGCATCTGGGACGTGGTGACGCCGGTTCGAGCAGTCGAGTTTGTGCGCGAAAAGCTGGCTTCCGCCCCTCTCGACGGCATTGCGCAGCAGCTGGTCGATCTTGCCTTTGAATCCAATAGCATGGACAATCTTTCTGCCATCATTGTCTTTTTGCGTGCGCCAAGCAGCACCAAGCGCGCCGAGCCAGCCGAGCCAGCTGAGGCTGGATCTGCTGCCGCCGCCACAGTCGACGCGACGGCTGACCCAGCCACGCCAACCACGCCAACCACGCCAACGCCCAAGACTCCTTCCAGGCATTCTGTTGGGTTTCTCTGAGCAAGCTATGAATTGTAGCGTGCAAGAGGGGAGGGGGGCCTGTCCGATTCGTTAGAGTCTTCTTCTTTGGTGAACACTAGAAATGCTCAACGCCACGTCGAGCGAGCAAGGTTGTTCTTGTGATGAGATTCGTGTTTATGGTTTTTTTTTTTTTTATTGTGCGGATTAGCACCCGTTTGCGAAGTTCTGTTGTTGGTTTGTTTAGTTGCTTTTCGTGTGTGCTTGTGCGTGTCGTGTATGTGTGTCTCGGTGTATGTGTGTGCTCGATGTTGCGTGTGGTCAACCGTGTTGTAGCTGGATGTGTGCGATTGGAAGTTTGTTACTTTCCACTTCCTGCTCTATTCCCCCTCTTCCCGCCCTGCTGCCTTCCCTTGTCTATGTGTTTGCTTCTGACGTTGCATCGCTGGATTATGCTCCACCTCCCTTTATTCGGTGGCTCATCCCCTTCCCAGTCTTTGTTCGTCAATTCCACTCAACCCAGACTCCACAAACAACCACGAAAAATGGGCAACTGCTGGACCGGTCTCTGCTCCAAGGAGGAGGAGTCGAACGATGTATGTTCCCCCTTTGTTCCTTCACACACACACACACACACACACACACACACACACACACACACACACACACACACACACACACACACAATCTGCATCTCGTTCAGGGTGGCTGTTGTGACGATTCAAAAGGGGGAGAAAAACGAAGCGATCATCCGGCTTTTTTTTTTTTTTTTTTTTTTTTTTTTTTGTATGGGGTTTGCATTAGGCGCGTCTTTTTTTGCCCTTTTGTTCATCCGCCCCAACGACCACGCACTCGCTCCACTTGTGCTCTTGCTTGGAATGAGGCCTTCGCTTCGGACAAACCCCCCGCGTGGTGATGCTGCGGCTGAGGCACAACGTTTGCCGGGGGCAAAATCGATCATCACTCAATGGAATCGCATACAACATCGCTCCAGCTCGTGACTTTTTTTTTTTTTGTTTTTTTTTTTTTTTTGGTTTCCTTGACACAATCGACGACGACTCGCGAACTGCGACGTCTCCGAATTCGATATTCTTCTGAACGGGGTCGCGCAGTGCAAAACTTGACTCTGAGGCGGGTTTGCGTTTGACGGATGGCTTTGTTCAGCTTGGTCACGTCAAAGTGTCATTTGGCTGAGCTTCTTTGCTGTTTCCCCCCAGCCCTTGGAGGAGGGGAACTTGACATGCAATCGCTGTGTGTTGCTTGCCGTACTGTACTTAAATCCAACACATTGGCGTGATGCAACAGATCAACTCGTCGGAACGGACACACTTGCTCAAGTCGCCCGTGATTAACAACTACCATCAGGACTCCCGCTCACAGCCTTACCCAGTCACCTCATCTTCGATATCAGGCTCGACACAGTGAGGAAGACAGATATGCAAAGGCCACTGGTGGTGTCACTGTGGCCAGTGTTGATCTGACTTTTTTTTTTTGCGCTTCGTGTGTTGCCCTTTGCCTCACGCACAACAACAACAACAACAACAGTCGAGGAAGCGCCCATTCGACAAGAAGCTCGCGCACTAGCCGAGTAGTGGAAGCCAATTATCTGGCCAAAGTAGAGGCACGGACACAAGAGTAAGAGCACCTCAATCCTTTTGTGTCATTTAACGCCTGAGTTCTTGTCGCTTATTCGATGCCCGCACCTTGCTGTCTCGACTATAGAGCCATGATCGACGTGTACGGTTTTATGCCGCCATCAAAACGCCTAGACCGCGCTTTCGAGTACGCTGTTCGCGACGGTTGTTTGATTTGTGCTTTCACACCCTCCCCCCCCCCGCCATCTCTCACTCCCTCCCCGTTTGTGCACTTGCTTTGATTTGTATTCCTGTAGCTTTTCGGCAATTGCCAGCAAGCTGCCAAGCGTTCAATCAGTGCAATTGGTTGACAGCTTGCCGGAGGTCAGCGACGCGGCACCCGTCCAAATCCTGCTCGCTAAGGCTCCTCTGTCGGCCAGCGAGCTCAGCAACTTTAAGCAAACGGCTGCAGCTCTGTCACGCTCAGCGTCCAAAGTCGCCATCGAGTCCAAGGACTCGTTGACTGCCAAACTTCTGGATGATTGAGTAGCAGCAATATACTGCGCCACGTTCTCTCTCTCTCTCTCCCCTCCCCCTCTGCTTCAACCCTCCCACCGATCATTCCAGCGTTTTTTCTTGTTTCGTATGTTGTCGGTTTTCTTGTTTTCTGTTGAGACTTTTGTGCTATTGCTGTATCTACCGAAAATTCACGCCGATTGCCTTGATTGCTTTTCTTTCTCTTTTTTTTTTTTTTTTGTTGCTGTTTGCTGTTCCCCCCCCCCCTTCTATTTTTTTTTTTCTGTGTCTCTTCTCAATGCTTTGGCTCTGGTGCTTTTTTTTTCTCCGGATCGTCTCTTGCTGTTCGTATCGGCACAACAACCATTGCGCCGAAACAAACGCGACTGCCCGTTGAACAGTGGAAACAAAAACTTGCAAGAAAAAGTTATATTGAAAACAATCGCATCAAAACAGAGGAAAGGGGTGCCACAACAAAATCCGCAACGTAACGCGCGCGCTCTCTCAATGTTGAATTATTTGATTCAAACTCCTAAATTGAGAGCACGCAGTGAAGGAACGGTAGAGCGCTTAATAGCGGTAGTGGTCGGGCTTGTAGGGGCCGTTCTGGGGAACCGAAATGTAGTCAGCCTGCTCGGCCGAGAGGGTGGTGAGCTTGACACCGAGCTTCTCGAGGTGGCAGCGGGCGACCATCTCGTCGAGGTGCTTGGGGAGCATGTGGACGCCAAGGGGGTACTTCTCGGCGTGCTGCCAGAGCTCGAGCTGGGCGAGGACCTGGTTGGTGAACGAGTTGGACATGACGAACGAGGGGTGGCCACGGGCGCAGCCGAGGTTGACGAGGCGGCCTTCGGCGAGGATGATGATGTGCTTGCCAGAGGGCATGGTGTAGCGGTCGACCTGGGGCTTGATTTGGACCTTCTTGGCAATCTGGTTGAGGTAGGCAACCTCAATCTCGCAGTCAAAGTGGCCAATGTTGCAGACGATGGCGTCGTCGTGCATGTGCTCAAAGTGCTTGCGGGTGATAATGTCCTTGTTGCCGGTGGTGGTGACGAAAATGTTGCCCTCAGCGCAGGCAACCTCCATGGTGGTGACCTGGTAGCCCTCCATGGCGGCCTGGAGAGCGTTGATGGGGTCGATCTCAGTGATGAGGACGCGGGCGCCCATCGACTTGAGGGAGGCAGCGCAGCCCTTGCCGACATCGCCAAAGCCAGCGACGACAGCGACCTTGCCGGCAATCATGACGTCGGTGGCACGCTTGATGCCGTCGATGAGCGACTCGCGGCAGCCGTACAGGTTGTCGAACTTGGACTTGGTGACAGAGTCGTTGACGTTGAACGAGGGGATCTTCAGCTTGCCCTGCTTGAACATCTTGTAGAGGTTCTTGACACCGGTAGTGGTCTCCTCAGAGATGCCGCGGATGCCAGCGAGGTACTGGGGGTACTTGTCGTGGACAACGTTGGTGAGGTCACCGCCGTCGTCGAGAATCATGTTGAGGGGCTGGCCGTCGGGGAAGATGAGGGTCTGCTCAATGCACCAGAGGTACTCCTCGTCGGTCTCGCCCTTCCAGGCGAAGACGGGGATGCCAGCGGCGGCGATGGCAGCGGCAGCGTTGTCCTGGGTCGAGAAGATGTTGCACGACGACCACATGACCTGGGCGCCAAGAGCGGTGAGGGTCTCGATGAGGACGGCAGTCTGGATGGTCATGTGCAGGCAGCCAGAGATGCGGGCACCCTTGAGGGGCTGGGCAGCGCCGTACTTTTCGCGCAGGTACATGAGGCCGGGCATCTCGTTCTGGGCGAGCTCGATCTCCTTGCGGCCCCACTCGGCGAGCGAGATGTCGGCTGTTCAGAAAAACAAGGGGGAGGGGATCAAAGTTAGCAGATGATGATGATGATGACGTTGTTGTTCATCTTGGAAATGGACAAAAAAGAAGGGGAAAAGAAGGAAAGGGAGGAAAGGAAAGAAGGAAGTAAAACACATCACGTCTTTTCTTTTTTTTTTTTTTTTTTTTCTTTTTTTTTTTTTTTTTTTTTTTTTTGATCGTTTTGTCGTTTTGTCGTTTTTGCAGCTGTTGTCAGTGTGCCTGTCGCTGTGTGTGACTCTTGACACTACGCACACACGCACACACACACACACACACACACACACACACAATCATGCAGATCGATCGTCCGATTTTCCTTCTTTTTTTTTTTTCTTTTTTTTTTATGCTGCGCACATGGCGAAGACGTGGCATGATCTTCCAACCGTTTTTTCACTTGTTGGCGATTGTCCCGTGCTTCCGCTTTCCACGAACTGCATCGACGATGACGCATCTCACGCTGGAGAAACAGAGTTGCACGGAATGCAGGGCAGTGGACGCGAGACAGAGCGCGAAACCAGCACGCAACGTCGAAAGACCGTGACTTTTTTTCACTGTGGGACACCACATGTAGCGATTTTTTTTTCTTTTCTTTTTTTGCCGTTGTGCCGCTCTTTTTCGCAGTGCGCTTGACACGCGTGCGGCGAGCGCGTTGAGCAAAACGACAGAGACACAGCCAGGCGAACAAGCGAGAAGAGGATGCGAAACAGAAACGAAAGAAAAACGAAATGAAAACGCAGCAAAAAAAAAAAAAAAAAATCAAGACGTACCAACTTTGTAGTTCTGCTTGGCAGCCATTGTGGGAATAATGTGTTGAGCTTCTTTCAAAAAAAGAGGAATGGAAAGATTTGGAAAATGTGAATGTGGATTTCTATTGTTACAAACATCCAATTTGCATGGGGATGGAAGATTTGACATTCCATTGAGGGGAAATTCATCTAGAAAATTGCAAACAGAACAAAAAAAAAAAAAAAAAGAGCAATTGAACAGAGCAGAACAGAAGCGAGTTATCGTTGTGTCTTTCAATGCCACGTGCATGGAGCATAGAGACATGTCAGATTCATTGTGCGAGTCGTTTCCAGATGAAATAGCGAGAAAGAACGGGGAAATAAAACAAAACTAGGAGAAAAAAAAGTAGCTGCAGTAAGACTACCCCATTGCCTCTCCTCGGCGCGCACAACGTGAGCTCGGTTGCAAAACGTCGAGAAGGCGTTCATTAACGAGGCGGCTGCATGGCTTTTGACAGCCTCGCATTAGAACACGCCTCCACTTCGCGCTCAAGCAACGAGGTTACAGCTCATCAACCTGCATGGGAGACTTGTCTTTGTTGAGCAACAAAGACGGGATGCAGACTAAAGAAATGATCCTTTAGAGTGCGGTCTTACCGAACAAATGCAACTGCAAAAAACTCAAATCGACAAAAAGAGGCCGAGTGCTCATCCACGTGTGACCATGAGGACGGCCGTTCGCCAAATTCGTGCGTTTCAATTATGGGAGATGGCCAAAATTACGTCTTCCTTAACAAATTGGTAGTGATAAATGAACTGTCGATGATCGACAGCCTGCTGCTTCGGACTGAGCGTGTGGCCTCGCGGGCAAACGTGATCTCGTAAAAAAAAACTTGAATAGGTCTCCCGTTGTACCGCCAATACAGCGTTCGGCTGGTTGAAAATTATCGGAATCATGTGTTTGCGTATATGGCACAAATGTGACATGCGTGTACAGCCGCAGCTGAGTTGGGAGAATGGGAGGACGGAAAGGGGGGGGGGAAGAACGCGATTCAAAAAAAGGGTTGCGCTTGCATGCCGCATTGCACTGGGGCTGGATGGAGAGTGTTAAAATCCCGGACTGGACAAGAAGGGTACTCGGGTGTGGGAGCATGGCAAGACCAGGAGTGAGGAGAGGTTGGTTGGAAAGTTGAAAACAAAAGATCGAAAAACAAAAACCTGCACGGCGTTTTCGTTTTGTATCCTGACTTGCTGACCAGTCATGTGGCTGCTGGAGCTCACTCCTCATGCTTCTTTTCCCTTCTCTATTGCATGTCTACATGTACTGTCAATACTTTTAGGGCGAAGGGACCGGTTGGTACAACGAGAGCGAGAAAGGTTGCCGGAAGAATCAACGCAGTCAAAAATCAACGCGATTGTTCGGCCATCGTTTTGTGCGCTCTAAACCAAGTCACGCCGCCCAGCAAAACCACTCCAATATTAGGTACAACCACTTCGGCCATTGAAAACTGCGAGCTCGTGTTATATTCTAAGATCGTTCCACGAGGATACGAGTAATGGGTTGATGATGAGAGTAATAATAGGGAAACAAGAGACTTCACTTATACAAAGCAACAAGTGAACACTCAAATACAGATACAAATCAATCCATAACACCTCGACCGAGAGCGGTTTGCTTGTTTTGTTCTTTCCACTCCTTCATGTTTCAAATTGTCATTCCAGCCTGTCGACTTATTTTTCCACTTTAGTTGTGTTTCTCAGTCTTCTTTCTTTTTTTTTTTCTTTTTTTTTTTGCCAACAATGCTGTCGCATCAGAGTATGACTCGGAGACAGCGCGAGTTGTATGATAAAGTCAAGAATGCGAGAGGAGAACTGAGGTTAGTAGCCGAAGCTATTGCAACAGTGTGACTGCGCGTGTATTGACTGTACAGCATGGAGGAAAGCTTGCCAGAGGAAGAGATTGGCGATGCTGGCGCGAAGGCGATTGCTGAGGCACTCAAAGTGAACACGACGCTGACTTGGCTCTCTATGCCATCTACGCCGGCGTCATCTCCGACTATGTCATCCACAAGCTGCGCGACAAGATGCTCTCTCTGGCCCTGAGGTCTGGTCCCCAAATCGTGGAACCCAGCTTGTTTGCTGACGACACTTCGATCTTCCTGTCGGATCCCAACCACATCCATGCCCTGTTTGAAGTCTACGCAACAGTTGGCAGGGCTACCAACCTCAAGATCAACGAGGCCAAAACCTCCGTCCTGCGTCTCGGCCCCCTTCGGGATGCCGATCCGCCGGACGGCTTGGCTCATCTCCAATGGGTACCTCCTGACGGCACCACTCGAGTCCTTGGCGTGCAACTCGGCTACGGCGATCTTGCCAAAGCCAACTTCGAGCCCCTGCAAGCCAAGGTCGCGCGTGCGCTGGGTCGTTGGTCGCGCCACAGTCTCTCGATCGCTGGCAGGGTCCTGATTGCCAACGCGATCGGACTCTCCCGCGTCTGGTACCACTGTCGCTTCATCCACATGCCCAACAAGTACTCCAAGGCGCTGTCCGACACTGTCAACAAGTATCTCTGGAAAGGCCGATTCTCCCCGGTCGCCAGGAAGGTTGTGACCGCTCCTCCCAAAACGATCATGTTTGGGCTTGGACTCATCGATCTCCCCACCAACATTGCAGCGACGGCTGCCCAAGCGCTAATCAACTTCCTGTCGCCTGTCCCCAGCTTCTGGAAGTTGGTTGTCAACCACCTCGCCGAAGTGGCTGACAGACCAGCTCGGCTCTCCGACTATCCTGTCGCCGAGTACACGGCCATGCAGCGGCTAGTCGCCAAATTCCCATTCAGACTTTCGCTCTCGGTGTTCTGGCACCATGCCTTCAGGGCGTGGCGCAGGCTGCTCCCTTTCTCTGAGCCTCCTCGCTCGAAGAATGAACTGCTCGCCACTCCCCTCTGGCGCAACCCCATGCTTGACATGATCGACTTCAGGATGCTACGGAAACACGGCATCTCGTACCTCCATCATCTCCACTCTGGTAAGAAATGGCAGTCGGCCCGCGATCTCCGCGAGTTCTGCGACTCCCGTCTGCCACAGGTCGAAGCCAGACTCCAAGTGATCCGCTCCAAAGTCTCGCACATCGACCCGTCCAAACTGCGGATCGCCCCTGTGCGCTTCCGCGAGAACGATTGGGTTGTTGACTCGTGGGGCTTCCTCCGCAGAATCTTGGAAACTCCGGCCGCCGACGCCTTGTCTGTGCGCGTGAAGCCCTACGTGTTCCGCCTTCACGGTCAGGTTGTGGTGCCCAAGCACATCCTCTCAGCCAGGCTCCCGCTTGCTGAACTCACCCCAGCAGTGGTCTCGGATTGGACCTCTCCGTCTGCCAAGCCCCACACCAAGAAAAGCGACCTGCTGATGCAGCTCGCTGAAGCCTATCCTCCACCAAAACGCCCTGAGGTCGAAGGATTCTTCTTTGGCTCTCTTATGCGTCTCGACGTTGACCCATCCCGGCTGCAGCTGCGTGGCGCTCCCGAGAACATGTATCGCTCGCTCTGCATCGACAAAGACCTAGACGACCTTCGCCGCACCGCAAATCGCTCCAGGAGGACGATGCTCGAAAGCCGCCATCCCTCTGAAATTGAGAATGCCCGCTACTGGCTGGCACTCTACCCCAAACACATCGAGGAGTGCAAAAAGCGCGTGCACATCGTGCGATGCACCTCATCTGACGCATCGCTGCGCAATCTTCGCCACATGCTCACGCCCGCCCCGGTCAAACCAACTGCCCTGGTCGAGTGGGAGCAAATCCTAGGACCCGTGCACTGGTCCAAACTGCGCCGCAACATGATGACCAATCTTGTCCCGCGCAACCGTGCCGGCCTCATCTGGCGCATCGCTCACAACACCGAGTACCTGGGTGAGATTCGTCTGCTGTCTCGTCGCGACAAGCTCACCAACGAACAACTCCGCGAGGAGTCACACAGTGGCGCGTTCGCCTGCGTCCACTGCTTCCGACTTCATGGCACCCGTGCCCCTCTCGAAAACTGGCTGCACATGATTGTCCACTGCCCCCTGGCTGTGGCGGTCTGGCGCGAGGCCGAAACGCTGTTCAGCCACGCGCAAGGGCCCTGGTTCCCTAGACAGCGTTCGCAATGGCTCTTTGGCCCTATCAAGAACAAACGCTACCACGCCTTGATGAAAGACGAAGCACTCGCTTGTCTCACCATCGTCATGCACACTGCCCGTTGGACTCTCTGGACGCTGCGCTGCACTGCCAAGTTCGGCAACACAGTGTTCACCCCCGCCGACGCGGTCCTCCGCTTTCGGTACCTCATCACACTGGCAGCGCGCCTCGAGCACTCTACCAAACCCCTCCCCAATCCCTGGAGGACTGACGACGACGGCGACGACTTTGGCGCCGCCCCTCTCCATACTGATGAGCAAGAGCATCCCCCCTTCGAAAGCAGGTGGGGAAAG